CTACCAGTTTCTATTTTTAACGAGGAATAAACAAAAAATACCGAAATTTTATATTGTATGAAAAACTCTGAATATATAACTGTGTTAGTAGAAAAACAATGTGAAATGAAAATTGGAAACGATTGTATTATTCACATTCCAAAACCGATGCATCCCTTCAGTGGGTTTTAGTGATTCATTTATTATCCTTTGGACTTTTCCCTTCCACCGAGTAGCTGAATCAGTAAAGCTTGACTTTCCACAAAAGTGTATTAGTTGAAGTTGTTACACTTCGAAAAGTACACATCAAACAAACGAAAGTAATGCGACAAAGGGTGTCACTGGTCCAATTGTAGAATTTTCGCTGGCCACAGACGCGGTCTGAGTCAGGCACACTCATAAACCTCACTTATCCAGCAGTAGGCCAGAAAACAGGAAAGGTCGGGCGTGAGGCTGGCGATATACCCTTTGCGTCAGTGGCACAGTGGTTAGGACTCTCACCGACCATGCACATGGTCCGAGGTTCGATCACCTGCCGACGCACACCTGATATCTATGGTCGGCCTGCAAAATTTGGGCTACCGATATCCATGCTGAAAATTCTATACTTGTACCAAAAATACAGTGTGGAATCAAGCTGTAATCAAAAAAAATAAAAAAATATGAACACCATCGTTACTGAATCATCGAAAGTTTGAAGCCCTATTCTCAATTCGGAAAGCAAGGAATGAAAGGAAAAATTGAGACGAAACTACAATGCATGAAGCTGGACAGCAGAGAAAATAACTGTATAAAGATTAGTGCACGGAGCTTCTTCGGAACTTGATATTCAAGTGTAAATAACTGCTGTGTCTATAATTTCCATTTTATCCAATAAGGAGTGCTTACCTAGGGTTATAATTCGTTCGTAGTTGCTGTAAGATAAAAGCAGAAAAACTGACTAACTCATTTGACGAGTGGTAAACTTGAAGATTACTAGAGAAAACACACAATACCACCTTTATTCCTCCTTCATTTCATTGACAAGCTCCTAAACTGCGCGAAACTATTTTAAATATTTATAACTTCGAAGAAGCACAGACTAGACAAGTCTGTGAGATATAAAGACGTTAGTGAGGACAACATCATTTCAATAAAGTACATTTTGATCAGACACAAGTCGGTAACTAGTGTAAAGTGTGTGCGTGTCTACACATATCCTGCCGATTGCTTCCAACCATCTAGTACCAATAGAGTAATTTGCTTAAGAGGCTTTAGATGATGACAATGAAGGTGAAGCATTGGTTGCATGAGGGAAAATAAGTTCAGAGAAAATATCTTTCTAGCGATTTCATCCAATGCAAGCTACACAATCTCAATTCTACATACTTTTGTTTTACAAGATGACATTGTTCTACGTCTTATCTCAAGAACCCGAGGAAATTATACAAAAATTAGGTAAGAACGAGAGTATATTGCTGATATCTTCACCTTTCAACAGATTCCAGGCGTCCAACACTTGCCACATTTTTTGATCCGAAAGTGGAGTTCAACTAGGTCTGTGAGGATGTGATGTGGCAATATCTGGCTGTAAACATGATGCCGAAAAAGTGTATTTTACTTATGGAGACACTGTACTCAAAGTCATTCAGAAGTGTTGGGGCTACTGGACAGTTGTCATCTGAAGTAAAGACAACCAATGATATCCGTCAAGGACGTGGATATCACTATTTTTATTTAATTTCATTATAGATGTACTAACGGCTACAGAGACTCTGAGATTGACGCGTTATGATAAAAGAGTTGCGTCGACTTAGAGCATTCCGATAACGAGAGACGTTTGGGTAAAGACGCTGACAAACTCAGTCTTTTGAATACCTTGAGAAAGTATATGAATATCTTTGGTACATGTTCTGTTCCTATCAAATGTAAGATAGTAATGGAGGACTGGAATGCACTGAATCCCAGTTTAAGAATGAAAAGTAAACTAGTTGAGTGTGTAAACTGTTTCAGTCACTTGGGAAGTTGCATTAGCCCTAATAGACTGACTGCTGGCATGATTACAGCACAGATACAAAATCTTGTTTGATATTAGCCAACTGTGTTATCTTTAGTGCAGGAGTGATATCCCAATGAAGTTGTGCATCTGTGTCATTTGATGTAGCTCGGATACGCACTTCCTCAATGGGGAAGGCAGCTGAAAAAGCGTTAGGAATAGTCAGAACAAAAAATAGCACCAATGTATGAAGTTTTTCATTGGTGATTTCAGCCATATGGGTAGGTTTAGCCTGTCAGATTGGAGTCCTTGATGAGACAAGAACCAGTAGCTGGAGACTGTTGGTAGCATAGCTCAAAATCGTTCGCAGTAACAGCTGCATTCACCCCACGTGATTTTCCTCAATAGTCTTCTTCTAAGTGTGCTTCCTCTTGTATAGTTTCCTTCATTTTATTTTCACTTTAATCCAACTTTTATATGTTCATTTCCGAAGTATGAGAATTTGAATTACTGAACTTTCGTGCAGTAAACTTTTACGTCCGTAATCCAGTCAGCCAGCTCGAGTATTATTTAATGAGAGGTAGTGACAAAGAAGCGATTAAATGAAGATATTTCTGAGATGATGATAATTGAAGATTAATCGTAAAGAGCATAAGAATTGGAACCTAAAAATGCTTTTGAACGTGTCCGAGTCTACTGTAAAATAAGGTATCGTCAAAAGAAGCGTGAAAATGAATTCGGAATGATATCTCGTAACTGAAAACGAGGATGAAATTATAAACTAGGTCGAATGGTTGGTAAAGAAAAAATAACTAATCAAGGTCATCCTAGATACGAAGTTTCGATGAGTTTCCATTTTTTCACATAACCTCAGTTTTCCCATGCACACAGTGAGGGCCTTTACCATGAAAAAAGTTAAAGTTTTATGTTTTGAGTAGATTTATAGACACTTTATAAAAGACTGTGAATAATGAGTCAGCTGAGATGTTACCCTAGGTGTTCAGCTATTGCATTTCTGACAGCATAAAAGTGTAGATATTTCTACAAAAAACAAACCATTAAAATGCAGACTTGAAAATCAACTACCCTAATACTACTGTTCATTTTCTTTTATGGGTAAAAATCATGTAATAAAGCGTAACATCTGGTGAACGTATTACTAACATAATTTTTAAGTGTTTTCACAGTGATTAATTGATAGAAGCTTTCAACTTTCCCAGAGTGGGTGACTGATTTCAATCACATTTCGCTTGTTTGCAGCATTTACAACTTGTCCCGAAACATGGGTGTGTTTACTACGTAAATGCAAAGTTGCCTAGTTTACCATTTTAATAGCAGGTCCTAAGCCCGAAAAAAGGAAGGTTGGGTATGGAACTACCGACCCACCCCGCGAAATTAACTCAGTCGCTACAGAAACTTGGGTGCACCGCCTAAAGATTAAAAATATAAACATTTTCTTCGCTGAAATCGGAGATGGAATGATGCGGGCTGGTGAAAGACCTCAGGAAGCCAGTCAGCAGATGTGTTGTCTTTCGATGAAGGCAAAAATACGCTTGGGGACATGGAATGTTCAAACAATGAAGCTAAGAAGTGTTTAGATTGCAAAGGTAAAGTGGTACTCTGAATCTGTAAAATAGAATTAAATCGCGGTGGAATCTCCAAATTACTAACTGGACAATGAATAATATGCCTCGGTCATCTATACAACAACCACGAGCACAATGATAGGGTAGCTATCAAAGATGTCACCGACGGCATCCATAGCTCTTTTCCAGTAGGAACCGATTTCCTTCATGATAATGGCGGCAAGATTCGACTCAAAAGAAGGAAAGCTATAACCATCTAAAGCTGCACTCACAAAAAAATGCAGATCAAGAGAAGGATGAATTTTACAGACCACTGCAAACAGTAATGGACAAGAATCGAAATGGAGACATCAAAATCCTAATGAGTGATATGAATGGCAAACTGGAAGCGAACAACACACTAAGAGAACTCATAATGGGTCAAGCAGCTTTAGACGACATAAATAAGAACGCGGACGTCTATGCAGATTTCTGGGCCTCCAATGATTCGGTGAGTGAAAGCAGTTTATTACAGGTACAACGATACTCACAAAGCGACATGGATTTCATCAAATTGACAAACTGAGAATCAGATAGACTTCATTTTAAACTCCAGAGAGTGGAGACGCAGTCTGATGGACATTATATCGAGGATAGATGTGAGCTCAGACCATTATCTAGTGTAAGGAACCTTCATTGCCAAATTGAAAACCTCCAAGGAAGCCGGAGATAGATCACAATTCAACGATTGGCGACAAGAAACTCTTGGAACGAATCAACCAAGAACAAATATGTTGAATGGAATGGAGACACATTGGACACGTGTTGAGAAGACTGCTGCGCAACATTCCGTGCCAGGCCGTTACTCGATTGGAATCCGGATTAGAAAAGACAAATTGGGTTCCCGAGTGTGACATGAAGGTGGTCGTGTGAGGAGCAGATGAAAACTTATGGGTAATGGTGGAGCCAGCTATAGAAGACTGCAAAGAACAGGATGTAATGGAGGCGTGCTGTTGAAGCCCTATATTCCAGTCGGAATCTAAGAGAATACTGATGATAATAATAACATGTAGATGTACGAAACTGGTTATATTTCGTTGAACTAGAACTACAGCTAGGTAGGCAGTTATGGACCATTGCAATGATACTGAGTTGAGGTTTTTAAAAGTTTACGATTTCCAGAAGACTTTTGTCGTGAATCATCATTTTATTTCTAATTTTGTAGATCAAAAATGTTTTAAATACGTGAGTATATACATGCACTACTCGAAAAATATTGAGAAAATATATCACATGAACTTTATTTTAACATCAACACTACCATTACAACACTGAATAAGTGAAATTAGGTGTTGAAATTAATTAAATTAAAAATATGCCTCTCCATTTTTAAAAATAAATAAAATGACAGTAAAGTAGTACAAACAAATCTTAACGGAAATAAAGAGCATTGCACTATCTCTGTGTTAAGTTACTACTTTTCATATAGTGTAACTGAAATTCTTATACAAGCATATACAGCCGCATGTTGTCAGTGCAAGGAGTAAACCAATGAATGATGAGTAGTCATCAGAATTCAGTCCGTTAACGCTTAGACTAGCGCCTATAAAGGAAAATGTTGTCATAGCCGAATGATAAAACCAATCAGTCCATAGACTTTTCTGTTGTAGTTGTTTCTGTCTAACATCCAGCAACTTTCTGAATAAGATGCTTTCACACTTCGATGAATTGACAGTACTCGTGAATAGCTTATACTGAATGATTGGACTAGGTGTGAAGTATTCAACAACAATGAGGCTAAAAGACAAACAGATGGGATTTTCTAAACTCAGTAATACAGACTGTTGAAATATGGAGCATTCCATAGAGGAAGATTCGGGAATTTTGTGCTCTCCACAGGAAGAAACAAACACCTCGTCAGCAACTTGGATACAATCATCAAACATGGATGAATATAAATCCACACCATGAAAGCAAATGCAACAATACGGCCAATTACATTTTATCGAAACATGGATTTGTGTGTTTAAACTAACACTAAAGTCATCGATAACCAGAGTTTGTGAAATCAAAATACATCTTACCGTTGAAACGTTCAAAACATCGACAGACTTGTTTATAGAAAGTGAATGACTTTCATACACACCAAAACACAACACACAAGCTAATAGAAAGTCTTTGGTTCCCCATCTTTTTGAAAATCACCTATAACAGTTTCCTCAAAATAGGTGTGAAAGAAGACAGAATGTAAGACAGTTAGAGGACGCCGAAGTATCGAAGAATTTATCAACACGAAACTTGAATCAGTAGGCCAGACTATCATTTCTGGAGTGGACATAACCACTTCAAGCAAGGATGAAATTTTGTTGCATACAATAGATATTGGAGAATAATTTGGTAGCTCCACATTTCTTACAGCTTTGTGCGACAAAAAAGTATAGAAATCAAGGAAGTAACAGAGACTTTCACCTCTTATTATGGTTTTGGCTTTCATCTCATAAGGATAATGAATTTTACCGGAAGACTTACTGGTTATCCAACAACTAACCTCCAATACAACGGTGGGAACATAGTCTTGTTTGCATGCTTTTATTATGATAGGATTAATGTTACAAAGAACTAATTGAGAATAACCGATCACATTATTCATTTCTGAAAATTGACAAAGTAAAGAATAACAAAGCCTTCTGGGTACTGCTGTAGCATTATTTCTAAACAAACGTTCGCCACGAATTCTTCTGCAAACAGTTTCAACCAATAGTGAACGATAAAAAGCTAATACCATAAGTGATACATTAAAGATACCATGAGTTGATACGATAGTATTCAGACTGTAAACAAAAGGGTAAGTAGCATGTATTGATTTCACTTGTTGACACGAGTGGAAGAGAGGGACAAACGTTTTGAAATATACATAGGATTCTCTAAATGCTATCATTGGATGAATAGAGCATAACTGTTTTTGACCAAGCTCATGAAAAGCACATCTGTTCGTGATTGAAAAATGACACCTACTCTCAGTGATCAGACAATACATTTGTGAACAATGAGTTGTTTCGTTAGGAACATTAGAACTAGTAACTTCTGCACTGCTGGCATTAGCCACAATCAAAGTAAGTGGTGCTGGCATATCTTGCAAAACGACAGATTGAGTACACAAAGTTATATCTCTATCCACTGGCAAGAATATATTGCACCTTACAATGTGTAATGATAGGAACCAATGAACAAGCTGGGTAGTACACAGATAAGTCTGACGACCGATTCTGTGTTTTGCAGCCTTTTGATATTGAATGCGTTGAAATTCTTGAACCTCATGGAAAGGAATAAATAAATTCACTCTTGGAAAATTGGAACATAACTGGAACCTTTTAGTTTGAATAGTATGATTACGACGCCTAGATGGTAATTTACAATCATAATCGTGGTTCGTAAATAACTTGCTGGCTCGACTAGTATAAAATTTATTTTTGTGTTTCTGATGACATGTGGACATTTTTGAAACCATGAGCTGCTGATAAATATCACCAGATGGAAATTCATCCTCAGATAAGACCCTTTTATTTAGTTCTCTTGCTTTAAATTTACTAGATTGGAATATATTTGTTTTCTTAAGACTAGCCGAACTTTGTGGGAAAAGGTACGCATTATGCACACTCACTTGACCCAAATCTTCTTTTATGGCTTGTTTTAGGAAATTATAATTCAAAGTAGATGGGTGTCCAGACTTTGTAGGTACATTACGAGTGGTAATATCCATTGATAAGCACTTTGCTGGCTGGTCTAATTCAGGTCTGTCATATAATACATATTTATCATTACTATCCACAATTCTCTCCGAAATGCCTTCGTCTCCAGTTTCCGTAGCATAATTAAGCGAATCAGCATTATTCAAAAGATAAATCAACGCTTGTTTCTTCACGAGCACAGATGGACAACGAATATTCGAAAGTAGACTACAGGCTATTGGTATTTCAGTCTTACTTTCAAAAGTAACATTTTCGTTAACATTCATCCATAAACTGACTTATATACTCATATGTACACAGTAAACTATTCACGAGATTCAAAAATAAGTGTAAATCGTTACTGTCACGTGAACAAGTTTAACGCAGCAGATGACTAACAATAATAGATAATACTGTCAAGTTCAGAAGAGCGCCAAAAATGTAAGGGATTTATTTATTAGTGGTTGCGTTTATGATAAAATATTTGCATACGGTGTGTAGATGAACTACGACATTCATTTTAAAAATAACTAAATCTGTTCAGACCCATTGGAATATAAGTGTATTTTGAACAGACTTGCAAACAACAACCGAACAACCAAAGTTTAACAAAAGATAAAGTAGTAGAGTAAAATTTCGTTTTCTATTTCAGAGAAACAGTACACGATAACTGCTATGAAATGTATAAAACTGCTAAAGAGATACACCTTTTATGTACATGTATAGGTTGACTTAGAAAACATACAGTTTAGTTTTAACACTACATCGAACAGTTTGAAATTTAGAAAAAACATAATGAGAATGAACATAAATGAGATATGAAAGAGTAAGACAACAAATACAACTTGTCCGTGAAATAAAAAATAACAGGCAAGACAAATTAGACAAAATTACCGGCTAAAGAAATTACACTGGACAAGTAACTTTCAGGATTCACGAAACAAGAGCGATAATTGTTATTAACAGCAGTGAGAAATGATGCAACACATTGAGAAAGACTTACAGAGGTTACTATTACTACAAAAGATTCTTGTGACTATATCTCGCGAATATTTAATCTCAACGGATAAAGTACACTGGATCAACGACCCCAACGTTGTTTTACCGTCCCAAAACGGTGCATAATCTGACGGAAATCAGATTCCTGAAGGCCTCGAACCGAAGGACATCGTCTGTTGAAAAACAAACAAAACGAGGGTTTAGACACTTAGAATAAGAACTGTCCATAACAGACCCACAACTGTAGACCAATAATTGCTTTCTATCTCAAGACTAGTGTAGTTGTGAATAATGATCACACGCCTAAGATATAGTTAAGTGGTGAACGGTTTGTAAGCTGGTCAATATTGAGGTTTTCTGAACTAGAAAAAAAATTGCAGGACAATTGATACACTAATCTGCTTAACTGATAGTGACTAAATTGAATTTGCAGTTTCGTTACATAATACAGTAGTTTTACTGTATATATAGATGAATTATAAAATAATGTTACAAATGATACCGCATATGTTGAAGAAATTAGAATCATGACATGATCGGGAAGCGAGTGATCAAGCTGATGTGTTACTCCTGCATTACACTTATGAACACACTAAAATTGAGGCCGCACTACAGCTTAAAAACTCGAAACATAAAATATTCGGCAGTTTATTTGCCATCTGAATACTTCAAGACAATCAAGAGGACTTTAAATCAAAATAATTAACATCCAAGTAGTCAATGGTGGGTGTCGATAGCAAACCAAAAGTGAGTACATACTGCCTTCTGAGATAGTCACTTTAAATACTTGATTTCATTACTGTATGTAACCGAGTAATTTAAGAAAAAGACGAAATTTAGTTGTGCAGGATACAAATCATCGGAACAACCAACTTATAATTGCATACAAGGAATCATGCAAAGCGCCAAAATTCCCTAAAGCACTTTGAGATATAGTTGGAAACCTGTCTGTCTATCTATTTTCGACATAGAACTTTTAGCTTACTAACAGCTTTTACAGCTCTGTCTACAGCTAACTGTATGTTTTGCCAGGTTACCTCAGGGGGAATCGTGCTATCGACCTTAGAAACTCGTTTCGTTATTTCTTCCTTAAATAGGGACCCAGTGTCTCGATCTAGTTGGGGACGTAATTGTTTCGCTGCCGTGAATTTCTTATCTCCATTTAGTCGTAATCCTAAACGTACGCGAACCAGAGCGTGATCAGAGTCTACGCACGTGTTCCAGAAGGAGCGACAGTCTTCTACTGACCCTCGCCAACGATACCCTATGGCTATGTGGTCTATCTAAGTCTAGCGTTGATTTGGTGATGGAGGTCGCCAGGTTACACAATGTCTCTATTTGTGCCTAAAGTTAGTGCTGACTAGGAAGAGATGATTATCTGAGCAAAACTGTAGAAGACGATCCCCGTTGTCGGTTCGTCAACAGGGAACTATATACGTACCACCTACATACTTCTCAGTCTGGCACAACTTCCCTACTTGGGCACTGAAGTCGCCTGCTAAAACAACTATATCTGAACCTAGTTGGAAATCTAGTTAGCATAAATACAAAAGGCTTACTTATTATTTTCAAACTATGAGTCCTACAGTCTTGAATTCATCATAAATTGACGGAAACCTAAAGTGCAGTCTAGATAGCCTTTACAATTTTTTTTCGTGTATGAATATGAAATAGATGACTAGTTCCTGAGGGCATAGTACATTACCCTGCGAAATAATAAACCTGTGGCCCATGGGCTATAAGTCAAATGCCTAGGCGACTTAGCTGCTTTCCGTTTGATATGAAAAAAGGATTATTTGAAGACAGTTACACCCACAGTGTTAGCTACCTATTCTAGAATAGTAGGAACTGCTCAACCCTTTTGCTTTAGTTTTTTCAATACCTTTATTATTCCTCCATTCAGTTCAAAATGGAGCGTAGCGCTACAACGACACTCAGTTTTGTGTCATTAGTTTCAACCGACACGATGACTACTTACAACCTTTCATTTCCTCTTCATTTGATCTCCTTAATGTCATTCTCAGGTCCCCCATAAGTCACTTTAAATTCGGGTTCCACTCAACAGCCTGGCGCCAAATGTCACTTGATTGCTTCCCCACCATGAGGTTCTAGGCTGGTTCGCTCCCAGATTTGTTAGTATTTTTAGTTACTTTTAAATCGCAAATGTTAGTCTTCACATTATTTACTGGGATATTACTAAAAAGGCTGTTGAAAATGAATGATTCGAAAGTAATACACACTGTTAGCTAGTGTTTTATTTTCTGTAGCTGTTATAATTAATACTAACATTATAAACTCGTAAAATGAGAAATAACAGATCTCTAAGATTGCATGTTAAGTTGTTCTTGGAAGTTTCATTATTTCATTGCAATGCTTCCGATATCTAGTTTCACGGTTAGGATTACCACATTTTATGTGCTGCAGATATTCTATATTTAATTATATTGCCACATTACATCAGTATGAAGAGCTTTTATTAAACATTCTACGAATTTCTATTGATTCAAAAGGCTGTAGTGACAGTAAAGATAACTGAAAAACAGAAAACTAATAACTAAAAACTGATTGACGTATTTGCATCCCGTTTGATCAAAGTGTGGATGTTGAAAGCAGTGACTCTGAAAGTATACTTTCTAAAATGGCTGTTTGGAGTAGAACTTTTGTAAAAGCAACTGTTCAGCGATTCTCATACGACGCATATACCCTAAAACTCTCCATATTGGTGAAACGGTGAATAAGATGCCGACAAAATAAGACAATATAAACCACGTCAGAAAAATACAAATAAGGAGTATAGGTTGAGCTTTAACAAAAATGTTTATAGCGATATAATCAGAATTAGTCAAAATGTGCCTATGCTATTTTCAGCCCACTTATTTTTTCAGGAATAGCTAATATGACAGATAATGGAACGCATATGCTGTAGCTTCAACCCCTACACACAAATTATTTCTCACTAAAAGCTGATGCCACAAAGTAAGAGTGGAATCCTAGGATTAGCTAACTAATGAGAGTCGCTAACTACATCACATTTGCACACCAAAGGTCATGTATCGTAACCCTTTATATCAGCTGATCTGAGATTTAATATCATGCGACAGTTTGCGATCAATTACACTCGTGAAGGAATGATGAATCAGTGTAAAAATCAAAGAACTTAAAGCTTACATACTTCAGAAAAGCACACAAAATAGTGGAAAAAATACAGTGATACTAGATTCAACAAAACCATGCGAGAATAATTAAGTGATTGTCGAAAATCGGCAGATGACAATGAAGGAATTCAAGTACACTAACGTACACAATTTAACCCATACCACAGTTTCCAAATAGTGAATCATAGTGTGTATACAACCCTTAGCCGGGAAATCTACAACTTTAATGACTTAAAACAACAATGACTGCATGGACTGATGTTATGATGCTCCTTTATTCATAATTATCAACCATAACTATATACACATTGTATCACAACTATATTTAGGTAAGCGGATTTCTCTCATCAGATAGTTTTCAATGCAGTTACCTACTTTGGTTTTGGGAATGGAGTAGTATAGCAATACCTCACAAATCTATTGTAACCGGTAAGATTTTTCAGTGGAAAAAAATCATCAGACAACGGAATAACCCTGCTGTTACTTTAAAACCGTAAATTCAGATTTATGTACGATAAAATATATGTTTATTATGTGTATGTATTTATCCAGCCGAAAGTGAGACATACTGAATGGATTTTCGAAACGCCTAACTTACTTGTTAACGCTAAATATGCAAATGAAGAAACTCTCACTAATCGAAGATGCAGGACTTTCTAATATACTCCACGAGCGAAAACCCTGCAATGAGTACATACTTGTCTTTTGCTGTATGTTTATTACAAGTAACAATCTAAGGTTATAAAAACGCATTTAATGCTACAACAATTAAATAGATGTAGATAAACAGCACCGCAGCAGACGTGGCATCGAAATTTCATTCTCAAAACTTCGAAATAAGTATGTTATGTATATATGATTTTGTCAGTTGCCGTATTTTACCTATCCAAAATCAAACTGGTAGATTGGTGATTTTGAAAAATTCACCGAGTACTCTGAAATCCTTCCATTCGATTTTTATTATTGATGAAGTAATACATTTCGTTTTGACAAGTTAAAATAGTATTAGCGACACAGTCTCCTCTTATCTTTAAAGTTCTATGGTAACAAAGTAGTTAATTGAATTGATGCAATGTAGTTAGTTGCATAGCGTAGGGAATGATGTAAGCATTTCTCCCAGAGTGAATGCATTT